GGGGGCGGGGCGGGGAAGAACCCTGTGACCACACATGCAGTGAAATCCATTTTAACCAGCCAACAGTTAAGTGACATAACTTGAGTTTTCCAGATCCGAGCTGCAGATCCCGCAGCAGAGAAACCACAGCTGGGGGAGGCTCTCCCTCATCTCTCCTTCAACAGCTCCGAACCCAAGTAAGATTTCCCCATCACTACACAGAGGCAGAAAGAGATAAAGAAAACCACTGCTGCAGTGGTCAGTAAAAAGCAGGAGTATGTTGACCTTCTATCCGTGAAGATGAACTAAAGATGAGGAAACCAATGGGGTAACCCTCCAAATGCCCAAAATTGAGTTAAGCAGGAAGAAAGAGATCATATGCCATGCTGTCAAAGTTCAGCGTGTGGACAAAACAGCACCTGAAATCTAAGTGGTAATTTAAATTTATCACCTAGAAAGACCATTCACCAATTTACAAAGTTCTTTCCAAGGTAACTTTTGCAGTTGATAAAAGGTGAACTCAAATATTCCCCATTAGCCTAACTGTGGGGTCAGTGCAACTGTAAAGAACTCCTCTTTCAGCCAGGTCATCTCCCAGGGACTGAGCTGCTCAGGGGTACTTTGATCAGATCTCCCCAGGCACGATCACCTCTGTGGGACTCCAACAGCCTTCAGTTTTCCAGCACAGGAGTCCACACATCCCAATACGTTTGAAATTTCACTTAACTTTCTTTGAAAGCACTCTCCTGCTCAGGCCACATAGCATTATTATTTGACCTGCAGAAAGGAACAGATTTAAAAAGGAAAACCAAAAAAGCTTTTTTCTGTCTCATAAGCAAAAGCTTTTAAGAGGAATTAAGATGCATTTGTCAGGTCAACACCTCCTACAGTTAAGACAGGACCGGAAAGCCTCAGTCCCATTCTGATGCAACTAATACACGCATTACACCGTAGAGGTAGAAGGGGTCATGTCTTTGCTGAGCTTGTGGTCCTGGGGGGCAGAGGGAAGCCTAGGGAAAAAGACCTGTAACTCCTGAAGTGCAGCACCGACGGGTGCTTTCGAATACGTTTTAAGACCCTGAAACTATTTACGAGTTACAAGATCAAAGTGTCAATCAAAATAACTGGAACACGAGCACAGAGCTGAGGTCGGCCGGCTGAGCCTATGAATGGAGCTAAAACGCCTTGTTTATCTCAGCACGTGTGCACGCACTAAGCCTGAAAGATACCCAAGCAGCCCACCCGCTCCTCACTGTCAGGCCAGCTGAAAAAGCACGGAGAAGACACAGCCAAGTAACAGGCGCGGATTCCCGTCAGCGGTTCTCACTGTAATGGACAGATGAGTGGAAAAAAGCAAGAAAGAAAACAACCTTGCTTGGCACCATGCCCACACACACATCCCAGTGCAGTGGGGAAAAGAGGCCGGGGGCACATACCAGCCGCGTATCAGCTTTCTGGCCCAGGGAACAGGCAGATCTGGCAGATGCCTAAACACTGGTCCCTCTCTGTCCCGAATGCACCTTCCCAAACCCCCTCCACAAGCAGAAACCCAAGGGGCCTCTCTGCAGAGGCCCCCTCGCCTCAAGAAGGTAGACGCTGACCACAGCCAAGCAACACCTCCCACACCCGCACCCCCACCACAGGGAAGAGCCCACCTTTCTTGAACTCCTCCAGCATGGCATCGAGCTTGGTGTCGTTGAAGACAAAGTGCAGCGGATGGTTGTAGAAGCGGGTGATGGTCTTGAGCGGAGTGCAGTCATCGGGGTCCACAAAAGCCAGGTCCTTAACGAAGAGCAGGTCCACGATGTTGGAGCGGTCACCCTCGAAAACGGGGATGCGGGTATAACCGCTCTCCATGATCTCAGACATAGTGTTGAAGTCGAGCACAGCCTCGGCAGCGATCATGAAGCAGTCTCGGAGGGGAGTCATCACGTCCTCCACAGTCTTGGTGCGCAGCTCCAGGGCTCCCTGGATAATGTTGAGCTCCTCCTTAACTAGATCGTTATAAGGGTCGGTGACGCGCAGCATCTCCAGCAACTTCTCACGGTTATAGACCGTGCCGATCTCCTGGCCCAGGACACAGTCCAGCAGTTTGCTGACGGGGTAGGAGGCCGGGAAGGTCATCATCATGAAAAACTTGGTGAGGAAGATGGTGTTGGCGCCCACGGCCAGGCCGTGCCGAGAGCAAATGGCCTGCGGCACGATCTCGCCGAAGATGACGATACCGATGGTGGAGACCACCACGGCCACCAGCCCGGAGCCGGCGATGTCGTCCAGCAGGATGGTAAGCGTGGTGTTGACCAGGACGTTGCCCAGCAGGAGGGAGCAGAGCAGGTAGTTGCCCTGGCGGCGCACGGGCTCGATGCGCTTGGCGTAGTTCTTCTCTTTGTCCGTGCCGCAGTTCTGCACGATGCGCAGCTCCATGGGGTCCAGGGCCATGAGGCCCAGGTTGAGGCCGCTGAACATGCCCGAGAGGCAGAGGAGGAGCGAGATGAAGATGACCTGCAGCCAGAAGGGCAGCAGGAACTTCTTCTCCTCGCCCACGATCATCTTGGTGTCCTCGCCGTCGTGGTAGATCCAGGTGGTCTCGCCCCAGGGCGGGGGCCCGGCCGGCCCCTCG